AATCTCCGCCAGCTCAAACACTAAAATTTTAATGAAAAATTTAAGCCAGACAAAACAGCCAAATGATGTACTATGTAGGCAGCTAATCCGCAATCAAAGTGCCTGAGAAATCACATGAGCGGCAGTCGACATTCAAATCATCCTCACAGTCGAGAAGAAGATGCAGAAGAAACTGATTCCCCACCCAAACAAAAAAAAAATAGAAGAAGATTGTTGTACACTCCCCGCCCTGCGCACATACCAGCCGCACCCTGTGTTGTCCAGTGTAATTTTTGGTTCGTGTGGCATATGCTGCTATAACATTTCGTTGTTATTGTTGTTGTTGTTGTTGTTGTTGTTGCTGGTGTGTCAGTTGCACGATTGCCAGAGAGACAACGTGTCTCCAGTGTCATCAGCATCTCCATTTTTTGTCTGTTTTCTGTGTTTTTTCGGGTGACTGCTGCCACCGTCGTTGGGTTCGGAGTTTGAGCTGGGGCTGGGACTGCGGCTGGGGCTGGGGCAGGGGCTGGGGCTGGAGTTGAAGTTGGAGGCGACGCTGCCCGTTGTTATAGTGCAGAAAAATTACTATGACAACGCTGGAAACAAGTAAACCACAGTTTACATTCACTCAATTTGGTGCGACAAGGCAGGCGAGGAGCAATGGAGCCATGGGTAGTGGGTGGGAGGAGGCAAGGGGCTGCAGTGTGGCAATGGCAGAATCGTGGCGTGGTGGTGGCACGCTCATCTTCAATTTTTCTACGACGTCTCTTGGCTTTGGGTCGGGCTCACACTCGTGTCGCCCCTCCCCCCCTCTCTGAATCCACGACTACGCTGGTCCCGCAGTTCACTGAGGAATCGGGCGAGCTTGGAGGCGGGTGGCAGCTGGCGGGCGGCGGTCGGCAGTCGGTACGCCGATCTGCGCAGCAAGATGAGTGGTTGGCAAAAATGTTTGAATGCGATCACGAACTTGACCTTTCACATAACCTCAAAAAGGCAGTCACTCAGTCAACTCGAGTCCAAGTCAACGCGAAGGAGCCAGCGACAAGCGCGCTACATACGCGCCATGTTAAACAGCGCCCCCCAAAAAAAAAAAAAAAAAAAAAAAACAGACAGAACCTGGACTTGGTCTAGCTGGTGCCTCCTGACTGTTGACTGCTGACTGCTGCCTGTTGTCCGGGTGTCAGCCGAAGCTCGGGCATAATTAAAAAACAATCGCCCTGGCACTCGCATTGTGCGGGCCCAGGTATGAATTCCGAGTTGCATTCGAGTCAAGGAGCGGCCGACAACGCCGCTGCCGCCAGTTATGAGATGGCAAGCGGCGATGTTGGACTCTATCGCTCGAGATGCCAAAAATCAGCAGCCGCATCGATGAAGTGCAGCAACGGTAACACTAAGCGCAACACAAAAATAGAAGAACAAGCTGAAAACTTGCATATCATTCAATGGTTTGCTGGAGTGGTGCCCCATGTTGCCTGTTGCCTGTTGCCTCGTCTTAAGGTCGTTCGCTTTGGCAACGACCCGCGTGTCGCCGCATCTACTTAACCTGAAAGCCTATGCCCCCAAGTGCCGAGCCAGCCAGAGGAGGACCACAGACCCGAGTCTGAGTCTGGCTCTGGGATTCAGCCAGAGACTCTGGCTGAGACTGTGGGTAAGGCACCGGCACAGGCACAGGCACAGGCACCGGCACCGTTGCCGTCACCAACGCCTGCACCAGCTGCCCCTGCCCCTGCCCCTGCACCTTCTGCTGCAGCAGCCCCTCCCTTAGCTCCAGCCAGTGCGCTCTGCGGCTAGTTCAACAGCTTTATTTATGGGCTGTTTGGGTAGCTTAAATAAATCAAGTTGTAGTTGTTTCGTTTTAGCTGCAACGCTTCCCAGCCTGCAATTAGACTTGGTGGGAATTCGCACTCAGCTTGTGGGGATACTACGGACAGTCTTTTGGCTGGCTTTTTGGCGTTTTAGTTGAATTTGGTTATACCCTGCGATCAGCAGTTGCTCGCGGAAGGGATAAGGTTGGCGGCTCTACATTTAATTCTCCCGTTGAACCCAAGAGTTGAACGGATTTTTTGATTTGTCTGTCTCTTTAAAGAGTGATCTGTGTTCTCGCAGCTTTCCGCAAACAAAAATGGTTTGTTATTTACACTAACTAACACTAACACAAGCTTTCTTTATGACGATTTTAACCATCTTATACAGGGTATTTCGTAGTCAGCACCTCGTGTATATACACATACATATTTTTTCCATCTTGTTGTCTTTTGCTTCATTCAGTTCATTCGCAGTTTGGGGCTATCGGCTATCGGCTATCGTGGCCGCTGCCTAATTGCATAATTATTTAAAAGCTATAATTTATGTAGCCAAATAGTCAAGTGTATATATATGTGTATATATATAAGGCGATGCTGAATGACCGTTAAACTTGAAAATTAAGCCGGGGTCTCCCATTATGTGCCGTTTGTTTTACAAATTTTAACGCTATTTAACACATTTGCCACAGATCCGCAGACAACTCGCGCGCTGTGGTAGCACGCCATAAAAACGAAAACCATTAACATGCGAACGACTGAGTGTGCGCCTCTCTCTGCGCTTCTCAAAGGCATTTCGTATTGACAAAATTAATGATGCCCTCACTAATATCATGCCTAATTGATTAATATGCGCAACTGCCGAGTGGAACTCAGACTTTAGTTTTTCAAAAAAAAAACTCTCTTAGTCGTCGTCTAATGAACGCAACGCGTTTTGGCTCTTAGCTGTTAATCTTACTGTATAGCCATTTAAGGCAACCACAAAACTGAAGCCCAGCTCTGCTTCTTAATTAAATTATGTGTACCGCTCTGGGCACCCTACGGCCAGCAGCAGCAGCAGCAGCCGCAACCATATAACTATCTATATATCTAACCGAAGCAACCATCCATCTCTTAAGATAGTCGCTGGCAACATGGGCTGATGATGTCGCTGCTGATGAGTTGAGACCCGGAACGGGTAAGTACCACGCAGTGGGCAACAGTTTGGGGCGTTGCTGTTAACTTCACACACACTAGCACATACACATTATGCGCCTAGCCAAAGAGAAAGGCTGCCAAAAAGGTCAAATGGTCAACAGCTGGTGGTCGGTCAAGTGGTAAAACCAACAAGAACCGAACAGCAACGACACACGCTCTCTATGGGCTTGTTAGTTGCGCTAGATTGCATGCCCTTACCTCCCTAGGCACTACCAGCCCTCCCCCGGCACCTCACCCTCCGCACCATTAGCATTCCGTTTGGGTTCAGCTTGGGTTCTGGCTCAGTGGGTAGGTAACAGCTGTGGCCCATTGTCGTTGCGTTAGAAATGGAGCTACGTTTAGAGAGAATCAGCGTGAATCGGTTTTATGGGCCTACAAGTGATTTCCATGATGATTACGACCGAAGCTTGCAACAAGTTGCATGCAGCTCGAAGAACGCACATAAAATGGAAATGAAAATGGAAATAGAAATAATTATGCGCTTGTATTTCATTAACTAAATGAGCTGCGTGTAATGCTTAAACATTAACTACAACTGCAGGCGTTCGCGTTCCAAATATCACTTTCGCCAAAAAAAGAAAAAAAAAGAAATTCAGCAATTTTTAAGTATTTTCCAAAATATGCCTTTGCATCCATATCATGTTTTAAATAAAAACAAACGAACTTTGACACGGATGATCTAAGACTCGATTGCATGAAAGTGAAACCGGAACCGGCTGCCTCTGGGTAAGTTTATTTCGTTCAGTCGAGGACAACAAGAAATAAATGTGATTTAAAGCGTTCGATAATTTTTGTATATCATTAATTTATAAATCCAAATTTGCATAAATTGCTATGTTGTCGAATAGAGTTTCATTAGGAAAACTAGATTACGCGCAATCCATCAAAAATTGATTAATTAGAGCGTCAAAATAATCTCTTGCGATATTTACAAGATAGAAGTAGAGAACAAAATAGACAGATAGTAAATCTCCTTTTTGTTCTTCAGTGTTTGTTTATAGACACAGTCTTCTAATATTTGTTGAGTCGACCTATAAAATAAATATCTCAACAAACAACAAAGAAAAATTAGCTAGCAGCGTTGCCAGCATTCAAATGTTTGCAAGAGGAAAATTGCAGTGCTGCCACCTACAATTAAACTCGAAAAATGAATTAATGTTGTGCTGCCAACCTGTCAACGGAGCGTTGCCTCATTCGCCGCAAATTTGTCAATAAGGATACAAATAAATGTATGCATTTAACAATTTGTCAAATTTAACGCCTTGATTAACAGTTATCGACATGTATTAGCCCACTAAACAATGAGGATATGGGTTCAAATGCTCGATTAGCCTATAAATATTAACTTATAATCAAAATAATAATAATTATAAAAATATAAAAATTAAATAAACTTGCCAAAAAACGATTCGTTAATCGTTTTCATGGAAAGCTACTGGCTTAAAAATTAATTATAATGGTTATTTAACGATTGAGCCGTATAAACTGTGCGGTAAACAATTTTTATCTTAAGCATTTCGTGCGACTATCTGCAGGCAATTTGTATTTTCTACAACCTAAGCACTTAAGAGCTGTCACAAATTTTTCAAAAACTTTCAACTTTCATTCAAACTGATCCCGATCGCTTAAACTAAAACTAACTTTAAGCCAAGAAAATGTTCTGCTTATCAATTACGAATATTTCACCGACCACCCACAAAAAATAAATGAGGGGTTTACTTAAGATCCATGCAAGCTGCCAGCTGTTATAATTAAAAACACCCGCCTCCATTCGATTTTCACTCGGGATCACAAATTGGTTTCTTTTCGGTATTATTTTTAGTTGACCCGCTTTAAAGAGTCAACTTTACAGACTTGATGGCTGGGTCCATTGATTAATTACTCGGAACCATATATGTTAATGTGCTCTCTCGGCTGGCCAAGAAAACGGTAAGTGTTGGTAAACAACAACAATACAAAAAAAAAAAAAAACGAACTCCAGACAGGGCTTAAAGACGAGCTTGTATATAATTAGCAACTTACCGCGCGGCGAACGTAAACTCAAATCAACTGGTTCAACTTGAACCGGAGGGCCCTCTGCCTGCAAAAGAAGAACACAGAGAGAGAAAGAGAGAGAGACAGAGAGAGAGAGAGAGAGTGGGTGAGTGAGTAAATGAGTGAATGAGTGAGTGAGTGAGTGAGTGAGTGAGTGTGAGAGAAAGAGAGTGAAAGAGAGAAGTGATTAAGATCAGCATCGTGAACAACAACATAATTATGATTAAGAGTGTGGCTTATTAGATATGCGGCTAAACAATAAGGCTATGGCTAAAGCTAATCAACTTTGACAAAATGCTGCACAGAACTATGCTTCCAGCTGGTGGGGGGAGTGGGGGAGGCATAACTGAGTACGTGTGTGTGTGTGTCTTATCTCTATCTACTAAAACGCTGCGTGCTTGGCAGCTGTTTGGCTTATTGAATTCAACTGCGTGGAACCGCAAATGACTTCCGCCGATTGGCGGGGGACGAAAGCTTCTGCTGCTGCCGCTTCTGCTCCATATGAGAGAAACCGCAATTGTTGCGCGTTATGCGCTTACGAAATCTTGACCAATAAACTAACGGCAATAAAGCCAAGCGAACAAACCAAAAATATTAAAAAAAAAATACAACAAAAAAAAAGAGTTAATAAAAATATATATAAATAATAAAACTACAAAAAGTTGGCTTAAAACAGTTATTGGCTGCCCGCAGCGCCATAAAACGGATAAATTTTAATTTAGCACTCTGTATATATATGTATGCATTGGGCATACGATATGCGGCTAGAGTTTGGAGCTGGGCAGCCGAGGAGCTGCGGAGCTGGGTAGATTTGGTTGGAGCCGTAACTGGAGGTGCGAAAGCGCCAACACTTCGTGTTTCTAGCCAACTCAAGAGCTTTTGGTCAAACGGATGCAGCGCGCTGTTGTTGCATACAAGCTGCCAACAGCAACGAGAACAGCAGCAGCAAGAGCAACAACCACAACAACAACAACAACAACAACAACAACAGCAGCAGCAACAACAAGAACAATACGCTGGTTTGCCCAGTGGGCAACAAACGACAATTGTCAAGCTTGTAGCGCAAATTATGAAAAAATGTCAGCGTCGAGTGGGCGATTTACAAGCTGGCCAACTTCTAGATGCTGCGATTTTTACACTTAGCCACACAGCCACGCGATGTGGCATGCCCAGTAAATAGACTCACGCTTAATCGGGTATGTTAGCTCAATCAGTTAGCTGAGCATTGAAAGTGAATGTTGGTTTTTAACTAGATCTGCTTTAAAAGAACATCCACAAATGACTGGAAAAACTAATTGAACTACAATTTTGAAAATAATATAGTTTTTATTTTATTATTTATTTTTCATTCCGTGTCAGGACTTCTTCATTGAGGGAAATATGTAAATATGCCGCATATATGAGACTTGAAAAAATCTAAATTGACTTTAATTTTAAAATCTTCTCTTAAAACTTTTGGATTTGAATATTTATCCTTAGAGACTCAATTGAAAATATTTGTTTAGCAAAACAAATCCTAGTTTTTCTTTGGTTTATTCATATTAAAAGTTGATAAAGCCTTTTTATTTATTTCTCAATTTTAAATTTGAAGATTCAATTTGCGAAACTCTATATTTAAAATGAGTTTTATATCTTTTTTGAGCTTTGGGACTGATTGCTGTTTCTCTTCAAATAACTAAGGAAACACAAAATATTTAATTTTTCATATATTTAAATTTAGTTTAATATCTCTTTAAATAGTAAATGTTATATTACATTCAAAAAGGATCTGCTGCAAGTCTTATGTTGCTTATTAATATTTATTATTAACATTTATTCTAGTGTGATTGCAAGCAATTGTAGGAATGTTCCACTTCCAGCGTTCCCGTATCTACGCTATGTTAACTGAGGCAGGTCACAAATAAATATGGCTACGAGTTCGCTTTAGTTTTACTTTGTTTTTCTTTGGAATAGATGATAATATGCAATACTTTGGCAATTATTATCTATAACAAGCGGCTGCTTGTAATTGTGCAATATTTATTGTTTTTAACCTCAGTTCTTGTTAGTTATCAGCAGTTAATTAAAAGTCGCTAACTTTAAATTGGGTAACCATATTAATTACAAGGTATCGTTGTAGTCGAGACCCCCCCCTGGGGCAATGTTTGTTGTTGTTATTGGCCTGTTGCTGCTGCTGCATTTATTTATACAAACAAATGCTCATTGGCTTTGAGAACAACATTAGATTAGATAGTTTGTCTTCGATTGTGTCCGGCGGGAGCACATGCAATCGTTTGACTTTTGGGCTGTTTATCTTATGGATTGCATTGACAACAACTTCATCGGACACATCGAGCTGAAGCCGAGCCTCGGCTCGAGATCCATTGCAATTGATATGCGGGCCCAGCAACTGTTCAGCCATTTTATCTAATTGCCTTGCTTAACTGCGCTGATTTATCGATCTACCCAGCATTGTTCCCCGTCAGTCCCCATCTCCCCCTAGCACAGTCTATACTATACTATTATAGACCGCTCGCCCTTCTTTATGATATTGTTATTGGCATTGCAATCGCTGCGCTAATTTGTGTGAGACGTGCTGAAATTTCTCATTGGCGCCGATCGAGAGGAGTTGACCATTAGCCGGTTGTCCGGCTCCGCTCGAGCTGACTTGATGGCCAGTTTTATGGATTGTTTTCCGGCTGGTATGTGAGCTGGCAAATGATATTTGCAGCAGGAATTTTTCGGGCAACACACCAAAGAAGCACTAACAAAAAAAGCAGTTGCTGTGCGGCTTTTTGCTTTGAGTCGCGCAATTTGCGGCGATTTATGAGTTTTATAAGGCGACCAATTGCAGAGCTGGGAATTGTTTGCTAGATGTCATTAATGCTGCCACAAACCGAACTATATCATTTACTTTACAGTCTCTGAGAGTGTAATACACCAAGTGCAAATTATATTAATTGATCGCGCTTTAACAATGCGATATGATTCGAGTAAAGTTTGTTAGTTAACAGAAAGATTTAAGCACAGGAGACTTATTTTAAGAAATAAAACAACTCATCTTTGGGCTTAATTTGTGCTTATAATAGAAAGAAAGAAGAAATCCGAGTTGGTTTTGAAAATAATTGCAATAGACTTAAGTCCGGGCTGTGATGCATCCTGATTGACTCTGAAGGTATATCTAAATTCCGGAATATTCGAAATAAAATAAAATTCTAAATATGCTCAATTAACTGTACTAAGTCTTGCAAAAGATCACTGAATATATTACATAACTTTCTGAGATGCAGATCTTTAATATCCAGAAGTAACAGAAGTATTGTAGGTTGTAGGACTTAAATTTATGAAATTGATTTGGTATTTCCTCAGCTATTGCCAACACTCTGGTTCCTTAATATTTGTTCCTTGTGTTTTCGGGAGGCATTTTGAGCAAGCTTCTACTCAACTTTTGTTTCGATCAATTTCTGTTATTAGTACAGATGTAAATAAAATAAGGTTCGCCCTTGGAAGTTTCCAATCTGAAATCTTTCTGTTTTTTGTTCAAACCAAGATTTTTACCCATTTTGGGTATAAAAACTCTCGCTTAAAAACAAATATTTTTGAAGCATATACAAGTTTTTTTGCGCACGAAAATTATGTGTAAAGAATTTTACAAGAAATTGAGATACTTGCAAGAATTCAAATTTTATGTCATTACGATTTTATTTAAGATATATTTATTAAAAAAACATTTTTAATGCATGTTTTGGCGAGAGCTTCCATTTTTAAAATCTTTTAGAAAGATTTAATAACGTTTACAAATTTTATTATTAGCAAACAGAAATATTTCCAGTGTTGGAAAAATAAGGATGAATACATAAATAAAAAAAATGTTGACTTGGCTAAAATTCTAAACAATTCTCAATTAAGAGTTTTCAATCTCTTTTTGCAATTTTTTGTTGTGATTTTTCGACACATCTCTGAAGCGAACATCTCCTCGAAAAGGTCAAGAAATCTAGAAAAGCAGCTGTCCGCTCAAGAGAGCTTTCACTCTATATGAAGACATGCATTGAGAGTATTCCTGATTTCACGCATTATCCTTGTGATAATGTTTATTCTTTACCAAAATTAGCAAAATAATGTTTAGCCTGCATCTATTTCAATTCTACAGCTTTTGAAGCCTAGGTTGGGCAGTAAGAACCTTTTATTTGAGCAAAAAAAAACCTATTTTGATGTGTGCTATGAACTATGGAAATCCTTAATCATTTTCCTTTAGCCACTCAGTTAACTATTGCATATCTATGAAGCTGAGGAGGATTTGTGGGACTCGCTAAATTCGAACGAAACTCACCTCCTTTGCTGACAGAGGGTCGGATCCCAGTCCATTCTGCAAACAGAAATATAGAGATAACTTAAAAACAGGGTATAATAAACTGGAATAATATGTGTGTAGCCTAATTATGCCACGACCATTGCTATGAAGGTGTCAGCCAGGTTCCGAGTGTGTCTCCGGGTGCACTCAGGGGCGTCTGCTGTCCAAAAAGGGCAGAGCAAACAGCCAAGTGGAGGGGAGGGGCGGGTAAGGAAAACGTGTCGGGATAGAGAGAAAGAGGGCAAGGTTGGGGGCAACGGGGTTATATGGCTGCACTGAGAACGGGGGCACATGGCATATAGCATATGGCGTTGGCGTTGGCGTTTTGGCTTAGTGAGTCGAGTCGAGTCGAGTCAAGTCGAGTGGTGCTTACCATGAAAACCATTAAATTGTAAAACGTCTTACAAAATAATAATTGCCCGGCAACGTTCTGGCCACGTTACGGAACTGCGACTGTGACTGTGACTGCAACAGCAACGACGACGACGACGACGACGATGGTGCTTGAAATAATCGCTGCAACTATTGTAGTTAGTCTCTATTGTCGCAGCAGCTGTTACCGTTTGCCACTGCTGCATGCTACCCGCCAAATCAATGACAACAAGCACAACAACAACAACAACAATAAAACACACACACACACACACACACACAGACACAACACAAAGGCACGGGCAGAGGCACAGGCAGAGTGCAACGCACCAAGCGGGCGGTAGTTGCAATTTCAAATTTGTTGTGTTCCTCTTTGCGGGCTTTTACAGGCGCTTTAGCGACGGCGACGCAGCCAACGCGGCGACGGCGGCAACGGCAGCGACGGCAGCGACGTTGGCCGCCGCATTGTGCAAAAACTTGCAGACGAAGCGAAAAGCTTTGCGGTGCGTGACGCGCGAGCGAGCGAGCGAGATCGGTCTCTTGTGTGTGAGGGGTGGGTTGGGGTGTGTGAGCGAGAGAGTTGCTTAGCTGGCCATAGGCAAATATTTATTGAGGCGGCAGCGCATGACCGTATTGTGTGTGTTCCAATTGTTCCACTGTTCCAACGCGCTTATTGTGCGACGCTTGGGCGTCAAACGCACAAAATTCATAAATACATCCGGTCGGGTCACTTATTAGCACTTATTGCAGCCGGCTTCCTGGGCGGGGGTGTTTACACATTTTCCTGCATATCCGCTCAATTGCCGGACACGCAGCCGCGGGCGCAACAAACGGCAATCAGCAGGCAAACACACAAACACGCACACACACAAACGAGGCGATGCACACTTAATTCGATCAACGGCTGCTGCTGCTGCTGATGTTGCTGTTGCTGGGGCGTTGTAATCACGCGCTGTGTAGTTGTAATCAAAAGGCTAGGCACATGCTACGCCCCACGGGCTGCCGCGTGTTTGTAAAATTTATTGACACTCGTCTGTACGTATGTGAGTGCTGCATAAATATATATATATATATGTGTGTGTGTGTGTGTGTTTGTGTGTACAAGTGAGTGTGCAAATTACAGCACATCCGTCATTTTAATTTCACTTAAAACGCCATTTAAATCAAACGGAATGCACGCACGCACGCACGCACGCACGCGCAGCTGATGCAAAAAAACAAGAACTGCAACAACAACAAACGCCGGCTGCACAAAACACATAAACACAAACGGCAAACGAAACGGCGAAACGCATGAAACAGAAACACACAGGCAACGCGCACGTTTATAACGGTCGCCGCGCAGCCAAAAGGAGCTTAGCTCGTATTGTACCGTTTAACTAAGCGCGAAGTTTGCACGATAAAACGAAGCGCGACACACGACCGACTAGCGCCACGTTCGCTGCTGGAATGAAACTAGCCGCAGCCAACATGTTGCGTTGGAGCAGCTCAGCATACCTGTGTGTCGCTGCCTGTGTGTGTGCGTGTATATCTGCGCTTGTGTGTGTGCGCCAGTTTGTTTGTTTTGTTAAGGTGGAGCTAGACTAAATGACAAGTTGGCGCGCATATTATTGGGTGGCCAACTGTTTACATTGTCTCGCACAAGTGTGTGTGTGTGTGTGTGAGTGTTTGTGTGTATGTTGGTGTGTTTGTTTGTGTGCCTGCTTGTGTATTTTTAATTAACATGCATTGCCACACACAGACGCGCGACGAGTTTGGCGTAGGTGTTGGCGCCAGCGTTTCTCATTGGCTGTCGGCGTTCGCCCAAAGGCAATTAATACAACAGCACATAAAGCTCAGCTATGTGCGTGTGTGAGTGCGCGCGCGTGTGTGCGTTTGTGTGTGTGACAGTTTTTTAGATGCTTGCACGTCCATCAGCCTTGTTATGTGTTTTGCCGCTTAATCTGAAGCTGCATCTGCGCCACGCAAAACGCAAACGAGGCGAATTGGCGAGCGGGCGAACTGGCGAACAGGCGCACAGGCAAAAGCACATGAGACAAAAGGCATTTCGGCAGTCCGACAGCTGTGGGAGTTTTTTGCGCTCTCTTTCGCTCTCTGGCCGCTGCGCGTGTACCGTTAGACGCGACTGATCCACTTTTCCACGCGCTTTGACAACCATTTTTGGTAACAATAAATCGTGATACATCATCAAAAGTCAATTCAAATATGTAGACAACGTTGTTGTTGCTGTTGTTGCTGTTGTTATTGTTTTTCCTTTTCGCCTGACATGCCGCAATGCGAGACACAAAAAAATATTTTAATTTTAATTGATTGTCGAGCGAGATTTACGTGCACCAAAAGTTGCTTCTCACGCTCACACACACACACACACACACACGCACACAAACACATGTGTCCCGCTGCTCTCAGATGACAGGATTAGGATTGGAATTGTCAAAATGGAAAGCGGCCGCCGTTGTTTTGCACGCAAAATAAATATCTAAAAGCGCGCATTTCTTATAAGAAAAACATCTAGACGTTACGTTTTTTCGCTCTTGTGTTTTTTTGCGTGCGCATCCAAATCAACATAAACGCAATTGAAATCAATATACTACGTGACTTAACCGTGGCCAATGCGTAAAAAACAGCAAATCAGTTAAAGCAACAAAAAGCAAAATCACAATAATAGCAAAAACAACAAAAACCAAACAAATGATGTGCTATAAATTTCGCTATTTTAAATGCGGCATACTTTCGAGAGCCGCCATAAAAAGTTGTCATAATAAATTTTATTATAGCTAAATATTTTATAGGGCGCTTTGTGGCTCAGCTGCGATCATGACTTAGCCAAGGCAACAACCCAGCATCAGCTTCTAGCTATTTTTAAATGCCCGCGCCCAAAACTATGCTTTGCATTTTTACTGTACTTAAGCTTAATTCGTTTGTGAGCTCATATTAACGAAAACTAATCTTAAGCGTTTGTTAATTAAATATTAGTTTATAACAAACTGATTTAATTAGTGTTGCGATATTCTTTCTTTGCCGGCTTCAGCAGTCAGGTAATGAGGGCAAACCCAGGGCACAAAAAAAACCCTCCTCGTGGTTTTTCTGCTCGGCCCTACTCGGCTCGGGTTAGGTAAGTCCAAAGGACGTGAATCCGGCGTCCTTTTTCGGCGGTGTTTTCCAGCGGAAGTTCGCGCGCCGCATTAATCGGGTATTTTTGCTGTCAGGCAGGCGGATAATTATATCCGGAAATTTGACTTCTCGCTCGTATTTTTGGATTTTTGTGTTTTTCTAGATGAGGTTTATGGGATTGGGATTGTGTCTTTGTGTGTGTGTGTGTGTGGGAATTTACTAATTACGCATAATGAAACCTTTTTGTGGAGTTTCCTTATTTGGATCTTTAGCTGGTTTGAGGATTTTAATTTTGGCACGATGATTTATAAATGCAAAGAAAATAATTTGATAATGTTTTGGTCAATATAAACTTAATATAATTAATAACAACACATTTTGTAAATCAATTTTTTGAATTTAATTTAATAACTAGTTTTAAGGAGTTTATAGCTTAAGTTAAAGCTTAAGTTAAAATCAGCATACCTAAATATATTTTTAAATATATATATATTAAATATTAATATTGGCATAATAAAATTAAATTTTGACATTTTTAGTCTCATCTATTTACATATTCAATACGTTTTTTCCCAAGCTTGCAAAGATTTCAATTAATCTTTTCAAATAGCAATTCACTAAAAATAATGATGGAATTTTGGTTTATTATATAACAAAATAAAGTGTATGATATCTAATTTTCTCCTACTCGCTTATTGCTCGATCCTAAACCAACTTTTTACGCTTTCCCAGTTGCTTTATGTTTACGTAGAATTGTCAGATGAAAAAAAAATAACCCAAGTCCTCAAAAATCCAGAACTGTCTCTCTCTCTGGGACTCGCTACATCTCTCTCCCTCGCGCTCTGCCTCTTGCCAGTCGGGTGACAAAACCCAGCGCGCAAAATTGCAGCCGCCGCGGATGAGAAAATCCAAGAGCGAAATGCAGACGCGGGCGAATTGAGCCAAACGGCCTGACGTCATACCTGCGCCGCAGCCGCCATAGGCTCGAGACGTAGCCAAGCGGGTGTTGCGTGCGCGAGAGCGAGACAACTAGTGTTTCGCGCAGCGAGAAGAGCGCACAGCGAATGGCGTACGAGCACTGCGCAAAACATCGATCTGAGCAATGGCCGGCAGGATCGTGCGTCAGTTGCGTTTCGTCTTTGCCGCTGCGCGCACAACACACACGGCTCAAAAACTGTAAACATAACGCGGCCCGTGAATCAGACAACGCCTAACAAGATACAAATATAGTGCTATATATAGTTATATATAATATATATGAAAATATATTTTCTTGTGCAAAGTTAGGGCAAGTAAATTATTCAAAATTGCCAATCAAACGATGAGCGCACGCTCGGTGTCGCCCAAGGTGCTGCTAGACATTAGCTACAAGCCAACGTTGCCCAACATAATGGAGCTTCAGCATAATGTCATCAAGCTCATACAGGTGGAGCAGCACGCCTATATGCAGCTAATGGAGCAGCCAACAGCCCACTACATGCAACAGCAACAGCAGCAACACCAACAGCAGCAGCAGCAGCACCAGCAGCAGCAACAACAGCAACAGCAATATGCGCCGCTGCCTTCGCTGGCGCCTAATGCTGCGGATTATGCGGCCTACGGCATTACAGAACTTGAGGATACGGATTATAATATACCCAGCAACGAGGTGCTCAGCACCAGCAGTAATCACAGCGCTCAAAGCAGCCTGGAGCTGAACAACAACCAACATAACTTTGAGCAGCAGCAACAGCAACAGCAGCAGCAACAGCAGCAGCAGACAGCGACTCCAGCAGGCGTGGCAACTTCAGCCCAGCCCCCACATGGCTACATGCTCAATGAGCATGGCAAGCGGTCGCGCAGCAGCAGCGACTACGATTGCCAAACGGATGCGCTGTCCATGCAACCGGAGCACAAGAAACTGTTGCAGCAACAGCAGCAGCAACAGCAGCAGCAGCAGCAGCAACAGCAACAGCTCTATGTGGACTATTTGCCCACCACCGTGGATGAGGTGGCCGCAGCGCAGACGCAGGCGCAAGCGCCCACACAGCAAAGCGCCTGCCTCTCGCCCCACTCTCACTCCCACTCGCATTTCGACTTTGCTGCCGACGAGGAGCTGCAGGATCACAAGGCGCACATTTTCAAATACGGCGGATATCCGCAGACAATTGCCCACCAGCAGCAGCAACAGCAGCAGCAACAGCAGCAGCAACAGCTGCACTTTCAGAGCAGTTATAGAACCGGGTAAGTGTATCTCATAGATCAATGTTTAAATGTATTTATCTTATTTTAAATTTACGACATATATTCGTTTTGCCCCCATATTAATAACCTTTTTGTTGCTGTTTAACTCTAAACTTGATCAAATTAAAGTATGAGACAAAGATACATTTAATAGGATATGTCTCTAAAGTCCCTATCAAAAGCCAGAGCATATAGGTACTATATATAGATGATAATATATATCTTCATGATAATTTCAAAATATCAATGAAATATTTGCGTCTAACATTCTTCTAAATCAAAAAAAAAACTTATTTAAATAACTTAATATTCCTCTAAAAAGGCACAAATATCTTGGTTAATATTCCTTTAGAGAATCCAAAAAAAAAAGATAGTTTAATCACATTTGCGTTATCGCAGATATTCACTGAATATTAGGAATGTTATTCAGTATAAAACTTCTTATGGCAATAAACATATAAATAACGTATATTTTAAACCAAACTAAAAAGTTTTAAAAGTTGCATCAAAAAGTTATCTGAAGATAGTCTTCATTTTGTAAGATGCTTAGAAAAATAGAGTTGATCCTTGATTTCAAAAAATATGTTTCGACATAAAAAACGATTATTTCTATATAATAGCATTTTTAACATCTCACAAAAAAAATTTCTAAGATCATGCTTGATTGCAAATTTTATATAAAAAAGTTTAAAAAAAAAAATATATATTTCAAACAAGTAATTACATAATTTAGGCTCAGTACTCTTATGTGGAAGAGTCTCTTAAACTTTTTAAAGAAACTTTTTTAAGTTTTTATAAAGACAATCGCATCTATATAATATGTTTATATGTATCAGCCATCTTAAGAGTTAAAAGATCTATAAATTTATAGAAATCTTTATTTTTAGAAATTTATTTATTAAAATTTATTTATTTGTTACTTAACTCTTTTTAATTTTTGTATATTATAGTTAATAATTTAAATTTGGTAATTTTCAATTTTTATAATGTTCTTATGCGCTTTGCAGTCAGAACTATGAGGCCTATGATCCAGCGAATAGTCTGAACGGCAGCACATACTCCAGCTCCGATCGCGATGACATGGAATATGCGCGCCAAACGGCGCTCAGCTCCGTGGGCGGCTATGCCAAGGAGGATGAGCTGGAGGATATGTCGCCCACGTGCCTGGGCGACGATAGCAGCCTGCTGGATGCTGGCGATGCGGCCGGCAAGGCGTTTCGCAAGCCGCGACGCCGCCTGAAACGCAAGCCAAGCAAAACGGAGGAAACGGACGAGTTCAGCAACCAGCGGGTCATGGCCAATGTGCGGGAGCGACAGCGCACCCAGAGCCTGAACGATGCATTCAAGGCACTGCAACAGATAATACCCACACTGCCGAGCGATAAGCTGAGCAAAATACAAACGCTCAAGCTGGCCACAAGGTAAGTTCACAATTTTACCCGGCATTTCCGGCCCGGGCTTAACCCAGTTTGTCTGCGGGGTCCGATACCTGAGTCTACCCATGGGTGGAAACTTAACGCAGTCCCTAAAGCCCAAATGACCTGCGTAACATTTATATGTACATTAAATATGTGAACAACATGACTGAATTAAATATTATTAGGAAATTAGCCAGAAAACGGCTGCCGAAATATATCGCAAAATATAGTTTAAAAAAAAAACAAAAATGAAGATTTAATGAATTAAAAGAAAAGGTCGCCAATTACGATATTCCGTTTTTAAGTATTCGCTTAAAGTCAAGACATCAAGAATAATTCAAATTTCAATTATGGAAAATTTACAAAATGTGTTCTAATTTCATTTTAATTTATCTGAAATACTTTTATTCTAACTACCCTAGAAACAACAAAAATTTACTTTAAAGTAAAACTGATAAGACTTCTATTTACTTCCCAATATCAGCATTATTTTTTTTTAAATTTAGTTTTTAACTTTTCAATTCACAATATTCAATATTTACAATATTTCTTCGAAAAACTTAGCCAAATAATTATAGCTTTATAAATTACCTGATTTGTAAATATGAATACATCTTTCAAAAAATTATAACTCTTAAGAGTAGCTATTTTTTTTATACGAATGCTTCTGCCAAATATGTTTATCTATCTGTATCTGCCCAATTAATTAACAACTTTTTCTCACCTCTTTTTCGTTGTAGATATATTGATTTCCTCTGCCGCATGCTAAGCTCCAGCGATATATCGCTGCTGAAAGCGCTGGAGGCGCAATCGTCGCCAGTATCGCCCGGTTATGGGAATGCCAGCACCCTGCTCAGTGCCGCCAATGGGGCCGAGGCTGATCTCAAGTGTCTGCGCAAGGCAAATGGAGCACCGATTATACCGCCCGAGAAGCTGAGCTATTTATTTGGTGTGTGGCGCATGGAGGGTGATGCGCAGCATCAAAAGGCTTAGGCGAGCATGAGGAGGAGGTGGCGACGGCGGAGGCGGAGGTGGAGGTGGAGGAGGGGGAGGAGTGTCGATTGCCATTGGGGCTTCCAGTTACTGAACAATAATGCACACAGCGTGAATAATTCCAATGCGAGTGCTCGCGAGCACTTGCAGCTCTTTCCATATCTTATAGATGACTAAGCTAAAACATTATTTAAAGAAACAAATCAACAACAACAACAGCAACAACAAATGAAAAACTAAAAATATAAGAAAAACAAATATTGTTTAGGTATAATTTTATGTCTAGCGCTAACTAAATTAAATTGTATAAATTAAACAAATACAAAGAAAACAAGAAAACACACAAAAGCGTCGCCATTTTGCGGTTGATTTTATTCATCTCATTCTTTTCCTTTTTTGTTATTTTTCTTTTTTTTTTTGTCTTTCCCCCCATTAAATTAGGCGCGAAAATGTTGTCGTTGTGTCGCCGTTGGGGGGGTCCGACTTTATATGCAATATCTGAACATAAATTTACATATATGCGATCGACAACGACGACGACATACTTAGAGCGTAACGTCATGCCGCAGACAGGCAGCAGCATTTATGTATCTCAAAGATACACACAAGTATCTTTCGCTCTCTCCCTCACTCTCGCTCACTCATGGGAAGCGAGCGCAAGTTGAAAATGAAGAAGAAAATGGCAACCGGAGACGGCAGCCGGGCTTGCCGATGGGAACAGCATCCACATCCGGTGATTTATGTGCATTTGTTTAATTCTCCTCGTTTCTGTTTTTTTTTTTGTGTTTTTTTTTTTGCTTGGAGTTTTCACTGCCACATAAAAACGGTTTACAATGTGTACACAAAAAAGTATTTATGTCGCCAAAAATGCCTATTTAAAATTCACATAATTAGCTCAGTCAGTTGATTTAGTCTCTGAAGCGCTTCAAAGGCGCACCAAATATCATTTTTAGTTGCTTCACTTAATTGCTTTTTAAATGACAGCTGGCATGAGTATTTTGAGTTATATACAAAGTACGATATATATTCTACCATATACAGCAAGAGAGCGAGACAGAGAGAGAAATAAATATCCAGTCAGCCTCGTTGACAGGTTGTTGTAGATACACACACACACACACACACACACACACACACACACACACACACACACACTCACACGACTCGTAAGTGGGCTAGATCAAGAACATGCTGAAGCAAAAGATATTCGTTTGAATACTTGGATACTTATGAATCTCTCGAATAAGTGTGAGTAAATTGTGTCCCTTTTCTTCTCTCTAGAGGTGTGAGCTAAGGAGTGGATGTCGTTGATGCTCGTTGAAAAAGTATTCGACAAGTATTTTTACCCGAATTTCAGAGAAATGCACTGGATTCATTATTAGATTGTTTATGCATATCTTAATAAAGATATCATGCACTTACAGTCCTCGCTGAATGAGTCGTATGAATGTGTCTGAGTGAACGTAGCCTTTATATTGATATTTTATCATAATATTTATAATGTGAATATAAATTATATATTCAGTTCGAATTTTCTGTTAAAGCGGAACAGTCCTGCAATGTGTATCATTATCGTTTTTTTAGACAAAAAAATTAAAAATAATATGAAAGAACTTATTTTTCCATTTTCTTTCTTTGTTAACTTGCATTACTAAACATTGCATTTTATTTTATAAATTATGTAAATAGAAATATATATAGATATATTTTATAAATTATCTATATATATAATTATGGCTTCTTTCTTTAAATAATCGTATACTTATGCTTGTTATATTTATTCATTAGCTTATTACGAATGAAGTTGACTCTTCTGGGTTGACTAAACTTGTCTCCATGTAAGCTTCATAAGTTCAGAGAATTGTGCTTGGTATAGTTCAGAAGATACTGAGCGATTCTGACGCATATATAACTAATTGCATCTTAAAGAGAAAAATACGTATCTGTTCCCACTAAACTAACATTAATCTTACACCTTTATAGCTTACGTTTTGTTCAACCAACGCATTGAGGTTTTATACCTCTATGATATAGAGAGCCTATAAATTAATTTATAAGTAATTATAATTAAGTCTCATTAAATTTGTCACAATGAGATTTTACATCTTTATGATGTATGTAGTGGAACATGTATATTTGGTTGACTGTACAATAATTATAGTATATTCTCATTATTATCTCTTTTATATTATTTATTTATGTTAGTCCTTAACAAAAAAAAAAGATCTTAATATTTCTAAGCCGCTGCCTTTGAATTTGAACCCTGCTTAATTTAAAATTTCAGTCAAGAATATAATCAATATTTTTCTTGTCATTGGATACCTAAAACCCTTTTGTTTTTTTAAGTAAGAAAACAATTTTAGTTCCACGCAATGCTATAGCGAGCTAGAGTTTCCTTCAGGAGCATATCTTGGAATATACCAATTCGAGAGCAGGACGAACAACCTTGATGTGAAGCAACAGACATGCCCCAACCCCCGAACTGTCAACGCCCCCAACGCTGCCGAACCCTGATGCATGCCCATGTTTGATTTTGGGTTAGTAAAAAGCATTTGAAGATCATCTCAAATAACGTGCACATAAATTGTGTAACTAAATTTAGAAATGGGCAAAGGCAGCTCACACACACACAAACACACACACACGCACACACACGCACAGGCAGACGATCCTTGCGGCAAGGACAGTCCATTTTCTTTTTTCGTTTATTCCATTATTTTTTTTTTCCTTTTGTTTTTTTGCATGCCAAATTCACATGGCTGTTAAGGACAATTGTTATTCGATGTGCGCACATGGTAATCGATGGCATGTGCTATGCGCCGCGGCGACAGGACTGCGAATCACGGCCAGGACCTGGCCAAGGACCGCATGCCGTTCACCAACGAGGTTTTCCAACATATGTGACAGCAGCACGGCTCAGCTCGACTCGTAAATGAAATGAAAACAATGGGTGTGGGAGTATGCGAAGGATGCGTGTTGTGTTTTTGTGTCCTTTCATCTTTTCAACTCGATCGAGGCACTCCCATGACTTGAAGTAGGCGCCGCCTGACAGCGCCTAATGCTACCCTGACTTTGACGCACGATCCACGAGATTTTCTGTTATTTTCCAATTTTCGATTTCAGGCAGTTTCCAAATACCAGCAAATGGGCGTTTAACTAAGCAATGTGTATATAAATCATGACTATTTTTCTTGTTTGCCTGCCAAGTTCTACATTTAATTAGATGCAGTTTTTCACTGGAAACAGTTTATTCACATATATAAAAAGAGCTACGGAATTTCCAAAAATATTTCACTGAGTGTTATTAAAAAATTCTAAATAAACAAGAAAGAACCAATAAAACTTGATTTGTGATTACTTTTTGCTTATAGGACTAGTAAATACTTTTAGAAAATTGATTTTACGTACCTTTAATCAAGTCTTGGATTGTCTCATATATCAGGGACTTATATTTTAAATACATATATGAAATATATTTGTTTATTCAGTTTGTCTCTCAAGTAAATGCTCAAAATTTGTATCAAGTGTTTGAAGCAAACAAAAAACGCCATTTTCTTAAAATATTTTTAAAGCTCTGCCCGCACAGTACAAGTTTGCTTTTGATAATAGATAACTTTTCGCAGCAATCGATAAGAATCAATATCGAAATCCTGTTTTAAGAGTAAATCTTTTAGTTTTACAAAACTAAAGTCACCAAACATGACTTTGTATTTCTAGAGTAGTATATACAGATCATTTATACCGGCATTTGGTGTTGTTAGTAGAAGGTTCAGAGTATCCTTTAGCTTTATCCTTAATTTCATACATGGATTTCAGTTAAACGCAAGAACAAATAATTTTAAATTTTAACAAATTTGACAAATTATAAATATTAAATTTTTTACATTCAAACTAAGATTATAATTAGTTTTGCAGAGCTCGTTAAATAAGCTGTAATCCATTCATGTAACTGAATGGTCACGGGTTCGAATACCTGGTTGGTGAATGAATTTAATAGCTTTTACCTATTTAAAAAGTGTTTCGAATTGATCTCTCCCTTTTCCAAATGCAGACATTTCCTTTAAAAGTATCTTTAGCTGCATTTATAGGCTAACTTAGTTCACATGCGATACTTAGTCCTAGTTTCCGGCCTGTAGCAAAGCTATTAGCTATATGATTAAAATTATATTTTAAATAAGCTCATATTGAGCTGCATCTTTTGAAGAAAAACAAATATACTATGCTGAAAGTCATTAGGGGTACATAAATACTCAGAATGCGTAGAAAACAATATAAATTTTGTATTGGCAGTGACTGAGCGAAGGCAATGCAAAAGTTATATAGAGATGCATATAGATATTTTTACTGAGATGCGGCCATGTAAAATATTAATGGCATTTATTTATGATTTCTATGAATGATTTTATTTATTGGCAAAACCATTAAAACAATATCTAAAACAATTGCAGGCTTCTGCAGGCCAGACACATGCCCCCATGTTGCGGGCAACACGGTGTGTCCAAAAAATATACGAGGCGTTTCGGATTTCAAAGTGCGAGCAACAGCAGCAGCGGCAGCGGTAGCGGTAGCGGCAGCTACTCGCAGAACGGAAGCCCGAGAGACCTAGTTGAAGATTGAGTCAAAGATGGGGGCGAATCGAGGCGGAGATGGAGACGGAGACGGAGACGGAGACTGCACTGTGACCCAGAAGGCAACCGGACTCATTTGTGGCCTGCTGATTGATTTTTAGTGAGAAGCTGCTATTCTCTCACATTCCCTTTCTCTCTCTCTCTCTCTCTCTCTTGGTCTCTCTCTCTGTCTCTGTCTCTGTCTCTGTCTCAACGCTGATCAGCGCCTTGCCCCCGAAAACCCTCGCCAAGTGGAACATCTGCTTCACGCAACGCTGCATGCGACAAAATATGCACAGACTGAGTAATTAAAATCAATATTCTCGTTTCGAGGTGTTCAGACATTTGTCGAACTGGACCAGCACCCAATCAACAACAGCAAATGCAATTTGCCTTCTGCTTCTGCTACTAGCTGTTGCTGTTGTTGTTGTTGTTGTTGTTGTTGTTGTTCTTGTTGCTGGTAATGTTGTTATGATTGTTGTTGTTAATGTTGTTGTTGCTGCGCCTGCATTGCGAGTACATTTGGCGATCAATCAACGATCAAAGTTCATAAAGTTGACCCAGCTGACTAATGGCAAACGCCCGAGTTGGCATCGCCCGTCAACAGCAGCAGCAACAGCAGCAACAACAGCAGCAGCAACAGCAGCAGCAACAACAACAACAAGTTACGCTAATGTACTAGACCGTACTAATGTACACACACACACACGCAC